AAACCGTAGGAAGCATGGGGAGCACCACCACCCTGCCAGTAGATTGCAGCATATGAATGATAAAATCATTCAGAATAGGATCTCCACAATTCAACATACCGGAAGAAAAGGATACGAAGGAGCAATGTCAGTCTGGTTTGCTTACCACACAAGTTAATCAGATTTCTCAATTGTAAATTCAGTTTATTAGCCATTTTTGGTAGAAATAAAGCTGCATTTTCATACAAAAAAAAACTGTACAAGATATAACGATCACGAGAGAAACTAAGAGGAAACTCGATTAAAACTCGAACGATATCTTTTATCCATGCTCATTTAACCCAAAAGCTAAATAAGTTTTTTCTAGTATATAACATAAGAATAATTTTAAAAAAATGAATATTATCAAAAGAGATTCCGTCTGCATAGATTTAGACTGAAAAGAGCGTTGAGTTCGGCGGATCATTGCCAATTCTTGCGGATGTCGAAGGTGTAGTTGATCTCCAAGTAGCACTTATTATCGTCATCAATAAACTAAAAGTATAAAATAAACTAAATAAGTAACTTGAACACTAGTTCACTAACAAAGCAAATCATAGTTGCATTTGAAGAAGGCCTCATACTCATCAACTTAAGTGAAATATATACCTTAGTCCTTGCGGAATAGGATCCTCTAGCAAAAATACCAGACGGCGTTGTTTCTTCAGGCATTACATGTTGGTAAGGCTCAGCTTGAGGACTAAACGTCCCAAGCATTGCTTTCGTACTATCCACTGCCCCAACAAGAAAAACACGGAACATTAATAGAGAAAATTTTGGAAAAATATATTTAACAAAAAGACAACAAAACAATTACCCTTGACACCGGTTTTCCAAACGGTATTGTTATAACGAAGGCCAGAAACAATATTGTTTGTGACACGGAAGTTGAAGACAAGTGTGTACTTAGATCCTTCTTTTATGGTGAACCAAGGGCCTTTCGGGTTTGGCACTCCATCATCAGGTATTGTCAATACCATCTCCTCTCTATCTGGAGACCTAACTGTCAAGTGTAGAATCTTTACGACAGGATCCGGTGTCTCTGCATATCACAGATCCGTTTAAGTGTGTGTTGGATATAACAAATTATGTGTGCTTTGTTCTAAATTATCATTTACCATATTACCATATATAATATACACTATGACGTCCTCAAATTCTATAGTTATGGATCTTATGCCCGTATTCATTTCAATGGAGACTAATGTAAGTTAAATGTCATTTCCATACATTTTTCTTCTGTTTTTATTTGAGTAATGGATATGGTATACCTCCGACATCTTCGAAATCCACGACGCCAATAAGCTGCTCCTTCCATCTCCTCAAGCTTTCATCATCCTATTACATTTTTCAGAAAATATAAACTAATCTAAAAAGTTTGATAAATAAAGGTTAATTAACAACATATATTAACGTATTTAAATGTACCATATGTTCATACATTAATATTCCATGATACTAACATTTGTCATTAATATAACTAAACTGTAATCCCGTCATTATCTATATATAAAATTTTTATAGTTTAAATCTTCTCAACTAGTTGAAAAATAGACAGACCTTATCTTTCTCGAGCTGTTCTTTGAGAGCAATCATGGGACCGAGTGCGGGCTTCCTCTCATCGTCATCTTCATCATCTTCTGTTGGAGACAAAGAGCTTTCGCTGTTCATTCTGCTTAGCCGATTTTCTTTCTCTGATATCTCTCCCGAGGCTTCTTCTTTATTCTTCTCATCTTCCAAACCCATTATTGGTTCCTCCAACCAAACCAAAACACAATCTCCTTAATGATCTAATAAGATCTTATTTAAAGTCAACCATTGTGTGCATGTAAAACGCAAAGATGGCAATAGAGGAGAAAGAGACAGAGAAAAAGGGAGCTTTCGGTGATTTTTTGTTGAAAACTGTTTATATTTGGAGTTTGAAGATGGTCATGCGGTGATCCTGGTATTTCGTAAATCCTACTTTGAAAATAATATTTTTTTATTAGCCTGCGTAGCCTATTTTCTACAATGCACGTATTGGTTACACCTTGTGAGGACGGTGTAATGCATGTCGGCTTATTGGGATAAAAAAAAAGCCTTCGCCTAATCTAGTATAATTTATTGGGCTATTTTATCAGTTCTATTGACCCAAATGTGAGCACAATATAGCCTTCTCAGGATTGCAGCTTCCCAATAGTGTAACTGAAAATACTAATCAATAACATGCCCCTGCATCCGAATAATTACACAACGGCGGCAACGAAGACATTATCACTCACTATCGACTTATCTATTATGGTCTGCCTCTGTGCCTCATATCTCTTAGTTTTCTATCCGTTAAACAAGTTTGTTATTTCTATAATTTGGATTTTGCTGACTAGTCTAGTCCCTTATACTTTTCGATACGTTGATCATGAGTTTCGGATGCTGGTTTCATAAGTTTGGCCACTTTCAAATTATTTATAAATTTTAAAATGGCAAAATTAAGATAACTTGCTTTATGACGTCCTCGGTTTAGAACGGAAAATATTCAGAATCATATCATCAACATTTTGCATGTGCATGCATGTGTTCTTCTATGAGTCTATTGTAAAGTTACATATATATTAATACAACTAAAATGAAATACTTGGGGCCAGTTTAGCTGCCAAATTTGATGTGAATGAAGCAAAATGTGATCTTTCTTTAGATAAGGAACTTATAACTAAGAGCATCTTCAATGGAATTCTTCTTCCAGAATCCTCAAAATACAATGTGATATTTTGAATTGAGTTCGTAAAATTAAAAATCTGACCCATAATTTTATATATATTCTGAGAACTTTTGAACTAGAATTCCCATTAGGAATGCTCTAACAATAAAAGAAGTGGAAAGCTTTTCAGAATTATAGAAGGATACTTTTTGTTTTCTTTTCAGACAAACTAGGATACTTTTTTTCTTGTAAATATTTTAGATGGGAAGAAAGTTTACAAATGTATATCAGAGATGTCTTCTCTCTTGTTAATGAGTAAAGTATTTTGAATCTTTAGTGATTCTTTAGTGAATTATTGTTGTTTTACACCGATTCAGGGAAATCAATTGTAGGCCCCATATATGGGGTGCCATCATGGCCGTCCAACTTTATCAGCTTTCCTGCTGGCCTACCTTTACAGGGGGTGATTAGGAGTTCGTACCAATCTATTGAAATATAACGAGACAATTTGATTACAACAAATTTAGGAATAGCGATAATTGTAGTTTGATAGATTGACACTCCAATTTCTAATGGCGCAGACAATATGATCCGTCCTTTTTAATGTAGTAGTCTTTTTCAAGTTTTTAACATTTTTTTCTGAGAAAGAAGTTTTTAACATATTTGTATCGATGATGTTACATGTATTTAAGCATTACTGTGATTCATATTTTACTAGCTTTTTTCTTGTTTGGGAATATTAAGTCTCATATCTTTCTTTAATTTCTTAACTAGATTTTGATCTACGCATCCGTACAGATGTATTTTTTTCAAATATATATTACTATTTGTTTTTTATATTAGTAATATATCATATAAATGTCATTATATAATTAATAATATTTTATATATACATTAATATAAATTATTGTTGGGTTTGCGGGTCGACCTGCTCTGTTGCGAACTGAATCATTTTCTGATTCAAAAATTTGATATGCAAGTGAGAAAACTTATACATGAACCCGTCCTATTTAAATTATTGAGTAAAAGTTTAATATTTTTAACAAAAATATTTCACAAAGTTTAATGATTTACATTAAGATAACTGCCCCTGATCTAACCTAGAAAATAAATATAAAATGTGAAGATAATGAATTAATCTGAGATTAATTACAAAAAAAAGACAACAGTTAAAGACAGAAAATAAAAGAAAATGACGAATGATCAAATAATCATATGTGTCTTCAAAAGAGAAATCATTATAATAGATCATCTATACATAAACCAAAACAAGAATCAGAAAACAAAAAAATTGTGTATATATATAAAGTCTTAACATTCTAAAATAAAATAAATTTACTAAATCCAAAACAGAAAAAATAACATCATGAAAATCCAGTAACTTCGTTTCTCTGCTGTTAATGTCTTATATATACTGTTAATGTCTTATATATAGTAAATTGGTAAATGTTTCTAAACGACATATCTTTCACGAGTGATGCTTGCTCAAAAATACCCTATGGAGCAACTTACTCTCTCAAATAAGAGATCTATTGCAGCACTTAGGGATCAAATCCACAAGGAGCTATGAAACCTATTAAATCTAATCAATCAATAAGACTAGGTAAATATAATAGTAAATCGCAGTAAGCAAGTAAACAATAAATATGAAATATTCTAATTAAGCAAGGCAAATACTCAACAAGAATGGAATGAGGGTTTTAAAACTAAAATGGAAAGGTATTAAACTTAGGGTTTTTATTCAGGTGTTAGAGATTATAATCTTATAGGCTATCTAGTTGTTTGCATGGTATTAAAGAGCATTAACTATCTTAACAACAAATTTACTAAACTTTCTTTTAATAAATAAGTCTATTGACTAGAATGTTATTCATCAAGACAAGAATGTCTGATCAATGACAGTGTCGATAGATTATTCTAGAGGAATTTCGACCGATTCACTTTACTCAACATCGATCAATTTCTTATGGGAATATCGATCGATGCGGCTAGTCAAGCATTACACGCGAGTTAACAAAGACTCACTATGGATCCCTAGAACAGTTTTTCGCTCTATTTCTAGTAAAATCCTAGCTTAATCAGGATGTGTTCAAGACTATCAGAGTTATTCAAAAGTATTTAAACAACCTAACAATCATAGATTCAAGTTTCTAAGTAGCAAGTCTAAAACATAAGCATTAAGAACATCCTGTCAATGAATACCACAACAATCGATCCTATAGGTGGGGGTAATCCCTTTAACCTATTTAAACCCTATTTCTAACAAGTGAATTACTCTGACATGGCTAAGCAATTCATAACACAAGCAAAGTTATAAAACTGTATAGATAGATATATAGAAAACAATAGAGCTCCAGTCACAAATATCTATGATGATCTTCTCTCCCAAACTATAAATCCTAAAACATTTTGCTGTGAAAAGAATACAAAAAGCTCTCTCTGCCTCTAAACTTAGGTTAAAACTCGTCAGGGGTAAAATCGTTATTTGGTAATGTTTGGGCTTCAAGTTGGTTTGTCTCGCGAACTGGTCTCCGCGCCTTTGGCATCGATCGATCATGCAAGGTGCATGTCGATCGACGTGAGTCACTCCATGTCGACCTCGATCGTCGTGGTTGATTCCAAATCGAGTGATTTCTCCAATTCTCTCCAAAATGCACCAAAAACATCACTTTCTTCCAAAATACTTCTGAACCTATAAATATACTTAAAAGCTTCTATAATATAATAAATAGTAGTCAAAGTACCAATATACCATGACTTTAAACGGGTTAAAATCATGGTATATCAACGAGAAAGTTTGAAATAAAAGATTCTTTAATAAAATTTTAAAAATATTATACATATAAGGTAAGATCATTTTTGGAATATCTTGTGGGTAAAGGTAAATGAGAATATTTCGTAACTAGAGTGTATCAGAATTTTGGTTGACATATTTCCCTATAAAATAATATTAAATACATGAAATTATGAGAGAAGGTATCTCGTCAGTTGATTTTGCAACAAAGTATTGAATGACATGTTCTACAACAAATATTTAAAAGTAAAATATATATGAGATAAAATATAAATATTTAACAAATAAACCTTGGTTTTTGTTTATTTTCTGTTTACGTCGTACTACTATTAAATTGAAAATAGAAGTGAAGAAAATTTACCAATAAAATAAAGTGTTTGAAGGTTGATATCAAATAGTTTGGATTTTTGAAGCGACTATTTTTTCCATAACTATTCCAATTAAATAAATATGTGGCATTAAAATGATAATGATTAGATCTAGCCTAGAAAATAAATATGAAATATGAAGATAATGAATTTACCTGAGATTTATCGAAAAGACAAATGTTTAGTTTGTCCAAAAAAAGAAGACAAATGTTTAGTTCACAAGAAAAAAAACTAAAGAAAACGATGATGATGAAATCATATGCTTCAAAAAAAGAATCATTATGATGGTTCATCTGTACATAAACCAAAACCAGAATCAGTAAACAAAAAAATATAAAATTATCATCTTAAAATAAGATAAATTTACTAAATCGAAAACATAAAAAATAACATCATAAAAGTTCAGTGACTTCGTTTCTCTACTGAAAATGTCTTATATATATATATTGGTAAACGTTTATAAATGACCTAGCTTTCACAACAAGCTTTGAAATAGAATATACTTTAATAAATTCTCAATAAATATTATGCTTATATAAGGTAATATTATTTTTGGAATATTTTGTTAGTAAAGAAAAAGAGAATATCTAGTGAGGTGATTTCAAAAGAAATTTGGATGATAGATTTCACTATAAACATTAAATACTAAATTCAGGAAATTAAGAGAGAAAATATGTTGTCAATTGATTGCAACAACTTTCTGAATGCATGTTCTATTACAATATTTAAATATATATATATATATATATATATATATATATAAATCTAAAGCCTAGACTATAACAATTTTTTAATTGACATATCTCACTATAGATATTTAATATGACATGATTTTTTTATTAACATTCATAGTTATATAAATTTGATAATTTATTTTCATATAAATCATACTACAAAATTATATTTGTTAGGGACAAAATTAATTCTGTTTATTATTTACGATTTTAAATAAATAGCAAATCTTTGTAACAATAAATAGCAGATCTTCTTAAATATCGATATTCATGTTTCCAATCATACTTATTTTTAGTACAACTATTCATATTTT